AGACCTGGATGGGAAGAACTTGTCAATCCCTTTTGAGGTAACAAATGCCTTCAGTCCTAATTTCTATTTTGAGTCTGATTCATTGTTGAGTCCTCAAGTCATGAATTGTCATTTCATTGAGGAAAAGAAAATTTCTAAGGAAGAATTTGATAGGCATAGGATAACAGCTTTTCTTCACCAAAGAAAAATCCTTAACCTAGTTGAGATTGCCTGCTCTTATGATCCCTTGGTTGTGAAAGAGTTTTATGCCAATTTGCAAACCTCCTTTTTAAAGAAAAACTCTCCAAACTTTGGCAAAGTTTTTGTGCGCAATGCCATTTATTCCTTTTCTCCCAAAGTTATCAACTCTCATTTACAAACTCCTACTGTGATTGATGAGGATAATTATGGTGATTTTACTGAGATTTGCAAAGTTATTTCTGGAAACCGTTTAAGAAATTGGCCTGCACACCCAAGAAAATTTCAAGTCTCTCAACTCACTGCTTTCTACTCTGTCCTGTTTAGACTCACAGTGGCTAATTGGATTCCATCCAAAAATGTCTCTGTGGTAACTAAGCCTCATGTTGTACTCATGTACAAATTGGGGATGGGTTTACCAGTGGATTTTGGCAAACTGTTCTTTGATACTATTGGTCATCTTGCCCAGAAAATTTCACCCTCCACTCACCTCCCCTATCCTTCTCTCATCTATTCCATCTTACTCTCTCAAAACTTGGGCCAAGATGACTCAGAATATCTTCACACCCCACAAGGCATGATCACTGTGTCTCAAAATTTTTTGAGGGCTCCTCATGTTCAAGATCTTCCCTGGAATGGAGATGATTTTCTCTCAACTGAATCAGGTCAAAATAACATTGGTACTGAGGGTGTTGCACCTCATGTTGACAACACTTCTAACCTTCTTGTCTCTGTTCCTAGAGATCTTCTATTGCAGCATCTTACTCATTCTCTAGCTCAGATTACCTATCATCAGTCCATGGTGGAGATGATTCAGAAGGCTCTTTCTGATCAAAAAGGGGGAGAAAAAGATCATGAAACTGAAGCAGGAACATCTCATCCCTTGGATGCTAGAGGCAGAGAGCAAGGAGTCAATGAAGAGGAGGCAAAGAAAGAGGGGGAAGCTCAAGAAGAAAGCAGTGGATCTAGTGATGGAGGAGGAGCAGCAGCTGAAACTGAGGAGACCTTGGATATCTTACTTTAGATTGTTTTCATGAACAATATTTTATTTTGTTTGTGTTTTGTTTATTTTCCCTCTGAACTTTTGTTTAGGACTGCACTTTGATTATTTCTTTTGTTGGACTATCTTGCTGAATTTGGTTTTAATTTATTGTTTCTATGTTTTTCAAATGGTATCAAATTCAGGGGGAGTTCAAGCAATATCTCAGGGGGAGTCTTTGACTAAGATTTAGTTTTGATCAGAAAGTTAAAAAGGGGGAGTTTGAAACACGTGAATTAATTTCACAATGTGTTTTTAACTTTTCTTAACTTCTAAACTAAATCTTAGTTAGTGGGCTTAGTAGGGTTAAGTAGTGCTTAGTGGATTTAATTATGGGATTTATCTTAACTTCCTAACTAACCCACTAACCCATTATCTTGAGTGCTCTTGTGGTTGGTTTTCTTGCAGATCATGGGCTGAAGAGTGGAAGCTTGGCAAGTCTATAAATATCAAACTCAAGACTCAAGATTATCACAGATTTCGAGAAAACAAAATAGAGAGCTGAAGTTTTAATCTCGAGAATTTTAGTGTGTTTTCTAGGATCTGTTGTACGTACTATTTATAAGTACATTCTTTGAAATCTAGAATTTTTGATATCTTTCTTTTAGTATCTAGATTTGGTTGTAAGAGTGATCTTGAAAAAGATTCACTCATAAGGAAGAAGTTTTCGCACTCTTCTGTTTGTATTCTTGGAATACTGATTTTAATATATTTTCCGTCCTGTAAAGGGCAAGTTCACAAGTCTTTACTTGTGAACATTTTTAATTCTGAGTATTGTTCTTTTGTCTTTATATTTCCGCTGCTTGTTTGTTCAAGTGTCATAACACCTTCAACAACACCTCTGTATTAAACGAATTCGGGACCATAAATTCTTTCAAAAATATACGTAGTTGATACTTAAGCATAACACACGCGCACACACACACAACGTGTAGAAGAGAATAAACTATTTGCCAGCCAACAACAATTACAACCACTCCCCTGAGGTATGGTCAAATTACAAAAAAAAAACCTCATGTTTGGATAATTACATCTAACCCCTCAACTATGAATATTCCTACATCTCCACCCTTATGGTGTCAAATTCAACACAATCATCTAGATTCCATGGAATGTTCTCTAGTTTGTACTCATTTTGTGCAAAAATACAGTTTCTGATGCACCAAAATCTGATATTTACAAGCCAAAAAACGCGTCTTATGATCATCTGGCTTCAAAATGTGGAGCTCGAATGGGATAAAACGGGTACAAATTTGAGAATATTCCATATAACCTAGAAGGTTCTACTAAATTTGAAACCGCAAGGGTGGACGTGTAAGAAGATTTATAGTTGAGGGGTGGTTGTAATTACCCAAACACGAGGGAATTTTCGTAATTTGACCATACCTCAGGGAGTGGTTGTAATTTACCCTAACTAATATAACTAAAAATAATTATAAAAAAAAAAACAGACATCTTAACTATTTAGAGTTACCTTCATCTGGTCTTCCTCATATGGTTCATCAGGTGCAGTTATTCTTACGATCTCAGAGATACATGAGGCCGCTGATATTCTTACATACCTTTCAGCATGTCTTATAAGTTCATTGGCAATTAGCGCTTCTTTTGATGGTTGAAGTGCCAATTGTACCCGGTCCTTGTGATCGTGAAGTGTGTGTATTAAAACACAATGTAAAACCGAGACTTTGTATGATTGCAAATGTTATAAACAATGTTTATCTGGTGAGTAGGCTGTTTGGTGAAACGCCTATCTGTCAAAAAAAAGTTGTTGCAATATTTGGAAGAATGCTATTTAATGAGATAATGCATTAGATACGTTATTCCGATGGAGTTCTTATGAACTATTTAGTTCCAGGAAGTAGTGGAGACAACAAAGAGTTATTGGTGATTTAAGAGATTACAAACTAATGTAATTTCCGAAATTCCGCCCATCCCGAGGCAATCCGACATCGGAATTAATTTTTGCATCCGAATTTTTTGTAACGGAAATCAGAAACCATTTTTTACCTTCGAAAAAATTTGAAAATTTTCCGAAAAAATCATTTTTGATCCATTATGTCCGATTTCCACCCTTATGCATGTACAACCACTAAATGAGTGGACCAAAATCAAACCTTCAATTGCCAGTATATATATGAAAAGAAACAATTTTTTGTTTGGAATGAAAAATTATTCTTAGAGATGGCGGCCTATGCAGATTAAAGAGAATAACATTGGAATAATCGAAGATCATCTGCACACAAATTCTCCTACGCTTGGAGGTTTGTCAAGTTCTCCTTCAACGAGGCAGAATGCCGTGGTTGGTCTTGATGATCTCTTAATTGAAGTCATGGATAAGCTCACTGGACAACAATCTAATTTCCATATAATCACAATTGTTGGAATGGGCGGCATTGGTAAGACTACTCTATCGGCATTATCCCATCAGAGTTCCTAACTATATTTCAGGATGAGTGTAATTATCGATACCACAGAGACCTTAAAGTTATTTAAGCAATACCTCAAGGGTGTGGGTGTAATTTACCCAATTTTTTGGGCCAAAAAAGATTTTTATTCCATATAGAAAAAAGTACAAAGGTAAAAACCTTGTGAGCCTAACACAAGGAAAAGAGTACCCCTATAACCAAGAATAAAATCGAGTTTAAATGATGGAAAAACAACTATTACATAAAGCCTCAAAAAGAAATTACATGAAAGAAAAGCAAAGTAGAAATTGTTTACAAGCTCACATAAATGTTTCCAATAAATTAACCGGAGGCTAAATTTCACGCCAAACGAATGACAGGAAGAAGGTATCTTCAACATTAAAACGATTCTCAAGAAGAAACAATGCATTGTAAATTCCAACATACCAAATTGTCAATCTAAGTTCAATAACGCGACATGCAATCGGCTCTCGGGCCTCCATTCTTCGATTTATGCTCCATGTGTAGGTTCAGAAGTAAAATACAACAACAAAAGTAGAAACTCAAAATGAAATGTGCATGGACTAGATATAGACAAAGAAGATCGCAAATTTGTTTCAAAGAACTTAATCCTAAAAATAAAGTTACACACACACACACATTCTCTCTCTCTCTCTCTATATATATATTTATATATATATATATATATATATATATATATATATATGTTGAGCTTGATCAGTAGCAAAAGGATCATGTTATGAAGATTGAGTTCTCATAAAAAATCAAGTATATATATATATATATATATATATATATATATATATATATATATATATATATATATATATATATATATATATATATATATATATATATATATATATATATATATATATATATATATATATATATATATATATATATATATATATATATATATATATATATATATATATATATA